GGGGGGGGGGCGGTGGGGACGCGGCCCCGCCTCCGGCCAGCACCTCCTCTCCTGCCCCTGCGTAGGCACCAAATCTTTCAACATGATGTCCCCGACTGGCGACAACTCGGAGCTACTGGCTGAGATCAAGGCGGGCAAGAGCCTGAAGCCGACGCCACAGAGCAAGGGGCTGACCACAGTGTTCTCAGGCAGCGGGCAGCCAGCCTCCCAGGTAGGCGGCCACGACGGCCCCCGCCCCGGCTCCTCTTGCCTGAGCCAGTCCGGCACTAAGCCCCGCCGCTTCTCCCCGCAGCCTGACTCGCCACTACCGTCGGTGTCACCGTCACCGGCCCGGAGTCCCACCCCACCAGCCCCGGGGCCCCAGCCGCTGCTCAACGGCAGCGTGGCACCGGCGCCGCCCGCCACCCCTGCGCCCGGCGTGCCACTGGACGTGGAGGCGCTCGTCCCCACGCACGACGAGCAGGGCCGGCCGATCCCGGAGTGGAAGCGCCAGGTGATGGTGCGGAAGCTGCAGCTGAAGATGCAGGAGGAGGAGGAGCAGAGGCGGAAGGTGGGTGGCTGGGGCTTCCCGGAGTGCCCTGGGGTCTGCAGCCCATCCCCCAAGCCACCCCCAACTTGCCAGGGCCCTTCACCCTGCAGTGTCTCCCTTTACCTAGGGTAAAGCAGAGTTGCGGGACTCCCCCCACCTCCTAGGACTGGTCCCAGTCTCTTCTCCCCCCACACACACCACACCCAGCAGCTTGTTCTTAGACATGGGATGACAATGTGTATCAAACCCTAAGGTGCTTTCAAATGGCCTGGGATCTTGTTTAAACGTCTGTTTTGATTCAGGAGGTGTGGGTGGAGCAGAGACTTTCTAATAAGCTCCTGGGTGATGCAGATGATGATGCTGGTCCAGGGACCACACTCTGAGTAGCCAAGAGGGCTCTGGTCACAGTCTGACCTAGGCTGTGTCCCTGCACTGCCACTTTCCAGCTGCTGATACTGAGTCTCATTCAGCCTCAGTTTCCTCATCTGTAAAATGGGTTGATCATCACTAGCTGGCAGGATGGTTTGTCATTCATTCGTCCAACAAAAGTTCCCTGAGCACCATTTGTATGCCACACACACTGTTGCAGCCTCTGGGGATTCATGGTGAATATGTCAAGTCCTGCTCTCAAAGTGGCTGTGGGTTGTGTGTCAATCAACAATCGGATAAGTGCCCCCAGGAGACAAACCAGGACAATATGAGAGAGTGGCCAACTGGGTAGACAAGTAACTGGGCTGTTACAACAAAGCACTGTGACAGGGTGTGCAGGGGACTGGGGCAGCCCTAAAGTGGTCACCCTATTTGGACCAGGGATGGTGTTAGGGAAGTGATGTCCAAAGTGAGACTTGGAAGATGAGCAAGAGGTGGCTGGGAAGAGTGGGGTGAAGACCAAGCCGGCAGGACAGGGGCGATCTGGAAGTCAGAGTGGATGTGACTGTACACTGGTGGGGGGTGACTGAGCTGGAGAGGTCGGGGGGGTCGGGTTACCAAGGCCTGGCTGGCTGCCTACAAGAGAATGGACTTTCTCCTGGCGCAGGGGGGAGCCTGAGGTGGGTGTTAAGCTGGGAAGTGGTGTCATCATATTTGTATGTTGGGGACAAATTGTTGTGGATCAGGATGAACTGGGAGGCCTGTGTAGAGGTGAGGGCAGCCTCCAGGGTGGGAAAGCTGGGCACTAGTGTGGTGGCCTACAGGAGTAAATCAGAAGTGCCTGGCAAGCCTCGTTCCCTACACTGTACTAATGTCCAATAGGGTGAGGGGAGGGGTGGGAGTCCCAGTGGAAGCTGCACCTTCAGCCTCTTTAAGCAGAATGGCCTCTCATTTAGCACGTGAAACATTGACCACGGGGAAAAGGAGAGCTTAGGCCATAGGGGAGCTTGAGAAGGGGTCAGCAGTCTGAGGCGGGTGGCCTCAAATTAAGACTTGGATGGAGTGAGGGAGGGCTGCCTTGCCTCTCTGTTTCAATCCCTTTTGCATGTCCCTTGGGTGGTGTAATGAGCGACCCAGTCAGGCGAGGAGACCCGTCTGCCGGCCTGCCCTCCCTGCCTCGGCAGCAGCGCCCAGCGACCAGCTGTGCCCTCCGCCAGCGACCCAAGTGGACACTGCCCTGAGTCCGGAGCGACGGCCCGGGCCGAAGCCTCACCCCAGCGTAATCGCCCGCCTGCCAGGCGTGGCCCATCCCTGCAATCGCAGCGCCACGGAGCCATTACACCACCTGGGACATGCAAAAGTTCCCCCGGCGCCGCTGCGGGAGCCGGGCCAGAGGGAGACGCGCCTCCCTCCCCTCTCTTGTCTTCCCCGCCTTAGCTAACGGCCGCCAGCTCGTGCTGCTACCCTCCCGAGGGCTGGAGGTACTCCCGCGAGCACAACGCCATCCTCGGGCCCTTCGGCGAGCTCATGACCGAGGCCGACATCCTCCGCATAGAGCAGCAAATCGAGAACCTGCAGGTGTTGCACAAGGCGCAGAAGCTGGAGGCGCGCCTGGAGCAGCTGGAGCTGGAGCTGGAGCAGCTGCTGCCCATCTCGGCCGCCCTGTCGGCGCCGCGCTTCACCGTCGACCCGCGCCGCATGCACGGTCGCGCCGCCAGCCTGCCCGCCTGGTGCACCAAGATCTCCACGCTGCTCAAGAGCATGGCCACGCTGCTGGCCGCGCTGGGCGGCCGGCCCGCGCACCTGGCCGACCTGCTGGCCGCTGACACGGGCCAGCCGCTGGCGCCGCT